AAATAAATTCATGAAGTTTTCTTACACAAGTGGCATTATTTCCAGAGAATGGGGTTTGATGTCCATCAGCAGTTACTTACCTTCATGTACATGGATGCTTAATACATTCAGCATCAAATATTGATGTGAATTTTGAAGAAGTATAAAATGATGTAGCATGACCAAATGTTTGGGATATCTTTATGGTCTTTCAGGTTGTGGTGACCAACACTGTCCCTCATGAGGTGCAAAAGCTGCAGTGTCCTAAGATCAAGACAGTGGATGTCAGTATGATCCTGGCCGAGGCTATCCGACGCATCCACAACGGGGAGTCCATGGCCTACCTGTTCCGCAATATCACAGTAGACGACTAGCCAACAAACACATTTACATTAGAGACAAAGGTGAGGTGTAGAGTTAAGGGAAATCTTTCCCCTCTTACACACTTGAGAGGTGTGCCAATGCAGTTCCCCATTCCCAACACTACAATCACCTTCATTTCTCAAATAAACCCCTTTTATTCTGCAGAACAATAAAAAAAACGTCCATTGCCAAATGATATAGTTGAAGAAGTCTAAAATAAATGAAGACATACTCAAACGTTTAAATCCAAGCAGTTGCCAGTGTGCAGATATGAACATAGATATGAAATGATAATCCAATGCAAACAACATCATTTATGCAAGTGTTTTATTTTTTTACTTTAAGTGATACTCTGCAGTGAAATCAACAGTTTTAGATCTACTGGTAAAACTTTACAATAAGATGATTTCACTACTTACCAGTATTTCTGGTTTATTTTGGTTTAATTGTGCCATAGTTGCTTCAAAATGAAAGGTATAGTTCATTCAAAAATGAAATTTCTTTCATATTCACTCATTTCATGTCGTTTTAAACTTTGATGACTTCTGTCTGTGGAACGAAAAAAGCAAACCGTCCATTTTTGCTAATATTATAAGAGTGTCCAGCATATTCTTTAAAATATTCCCGTTGTTCCACGTGAGCGTCAGAGTCATACAGGATTGGAGTGTGAATACAGTAAATATTGATTTAAAATTTTTGTGTGAACTATTCCTTAAACCCTTAAAATCACATTAAGGAATCAAAATATAGTATGTTACAGAAAATGCTGGTTTCTAAGTGGTTTTGTTTGGTTGATTTGTGTCATAAATGTTTACTCCAGACGACAAACAAATGAGCTCTAAATGAACCAAGTACTGTGAATACTTCTCGTAGAACGCATCTGTACTCCTACATGACAAAACTAAGCGAGCGGAAATGGCGTGTTCCTCCGTTTCAGTCTTTTACATTTGTGTGCTAATGTTAAGATATGTATTGCCTTTGGGTTTTATCATAAATGGACCATATTAGCAATACTAAGCCAGTTATATACTGCAGATATTTTTAGCATAACTAAATGCAGTATACTGTGATCACGTGGCTTTGTAGCAGTGACATCCACCCAATCAGATAAAAAAACATTTAGCTTTTGCTTCCTGATTAAACCTTAGAGGAGGTTGTGACGGGATTGTAAAACCGAATAGTAAGCTGATAACAACAATGCATGAGTTTTGTGTGTCCGGTAGATCACTGACGGATGGAGAAAACGTGCACCAGCACTGCCCCTGTACTCCCTCTGTGTGCATTTGTCTCAGCCGTCGAGCCGTCGGTCAGTGTTCGTTTGAAGCACAGCTACACTTCTTTCTTTTAACATCGTCTTCCACTTCTCTGTGTTCCTCAATTGTGCATCAACTAGCCCGTTTCCCAGTGCCTCACTCTGTGAGAGTGAGGGAGCGTGGTTGCTATGGCAACCTTATTCAGAGCTGTTCTAGCTATATTTTTGCATTAGTGCAAATATGGTCCAGTCTTACGGAGAACATACGTTTTTGCTACAGTGTATTGAATCTGCTGTTGGTTTGCAGTCTTATTTTTGTAAATAAACACAAGTGATTTGCTTCATGCTGCTCAGGTGTATCTTTATTGAACTGAATTCACAGAAGAAAAAAAAAAATGCATGTGATTTACTCAAGCGATAAGGTACTATTTGAGAATCTCCATCATGTCAGGATGAGATGTCATCAGTGGTCTTCAGTATTAGAGGAGGAGTTAGTAAAAGACCCTTCACTTGCTCTAAACTCCTCAGGTTTATTCACATGACACTGAGGAGCTTAGACCAAGTCAAGGGACCCAAACAAAACTCACAAAAATGTGTCCAGGTCACATTTTGCCACCGAATCAAAATAATATATTTTTTGTATAAATAAAAATAGCATGTTTTTAAGATAAAGTATTTTGCACTATTGTGCATTCACTATATATATATATAT